AAAGCTCCCACTGCCTGATGTTTATTTTTCGATTTATTTTTAGAAATCGATTAAATATATGTGTCAAAAGAAGAAGTAAATTTCATGTGATTTTCACACAAACTTTACTTCGATTGATTTATGACACATATATTATATTGTGGTGAAAAGTGTAGCTTATGCTTATGGGTTTCAAATCCATTTCAGTTAATTATTATAATTTGATCGATTTTCATTTATCATACGACGATCATATATAAGTTACCAAATTATCAGCATTGTAAATGTATCAGATATTCATATAGAATTTACCTGGCACATTTTCAATCATATAATTTTCAATGGATTATCTTATAGCGCAAATTTATAAGATTTCCACATAACAGGAATATGTCATATTGGTTCAGTGTAGGCAACACTGTATTTTGCAGTGTGACATAGTAGCCATGATTTTTGTGTCCTATTCAACACCCCAGAAACACCACTGTTGCCTGTTGAGCAGTTGATTGAGCATGATCATAAGACATCAACGCATTGAACCATTGATAGCTTTCGATCCTTGCATTTAATCAAAAAGTGGTCTTCAGCAAAGTTCTAGCTGGGAAAATTTCCTACAAGTACAGTTGACAGTTTTTGATACAGACCGATATGGTGAATTATTAGATAGACATGAACAAAAATCTTGGTTTTACCACAGTAATTCCCATACAAACTTCAAATGGTTTGTGCCATCTCTGTTTCTCACCAAATGGGTTCAAATTTTGAGAGGTTAGTCATAATCCGATTTGGAATCGTTTAAGTATTGTGGAGCGAAAATTTTAAATTTTGCATCTCTCTAATGGGCACCCTATTAATGCACTTGTATCAAGTTGAATTTTTTTTCTGCTATGTTCGTATAGTCCAACCGCCTTGATTCCCTCGTATAGGTCAGGTCATGAACTCACTAGATTAGCAATAATTTTAATAATATTTAAGATTTAAACAAAGCAATTTTCTCAATTAAGGTAGAATTAATTAAATTTGCTTTATAAATTTGGCCACCACGTTGTAACGATTGTGAAATGATTGTTCCTTTTTTTTGTTTTGCTTTCTATCTTCTGTCTTCTTGTCAGTGCACCGTCTGTCGTGTTGTTGTAAAGAACGAACTATACTCCAGTTGATCACTCTGCGGCAGGGACTGCGTTGCGTGCCCTACGGTTTAAGCCACAACAATTATTTTGTAATTGTAATTGTAATTTATTATCGTAACGTTAGCCTGTCGGTTACACCATTGCTCAGGTCAAGGAAAACACAACATTTGATTTTTAACTAAAGGAGAACAATAAGTCATTAGTGGAAGTAGCTTTCTTAGTAGGTATGTAATTCTTAAACTAGGTTTGAGATCCTGTTGAGAGCACTGTCTTGAATGCGCTGATCGTTGTCTGTCGTCTTGTTGCTAGAGGGAGCTGGTTCCAGATGATTGAACCTGCGATCATCACACTCTTCTTCTTCGATGTGGTGTGATGGGGAATCGCAAAGCAGCGGGCCCGCTCAAGCTGTCCTCTTCTCAGGTGTTGCTGCAGATAAGGTGGGAAAATTCCTGCGTACCCTTGGCGAATAAAACAGCTGATTCTATTCCGGTAATTTGTGTCCAGGTCGTGTCCCAAAATAGAGTTCCTTACAGCAGTCTCTGCGTCTGAGGCCATAGACAAAGCGAACTGCTGCCTTGAAACAACGGTTTAGTTGATCACAGAGCGCTGATGACAGTCCAGGATAGTAAGTGAAGTCACAGTAGGTGAAAAACGGCACGACCACTGCTTGCACCAGCTTTATTCGGGTTTGAACTGACAAAACTGGAGCGAATCTTCGGAGTGTCCGCAACGTTTCAAAAACTTTGGCCGTTATGTCGTTCACATGTCCATTCCACTTCAGGTTGCGATCCATCCTTAGACCAAGATTCACTACGTTGTCAGACAAAATAATGTGTTCTCCGCAGAAAACGATGTTAGTGGTTGGTGCTACCGCTCCTTCTTTGCAAAAAATAATTGCTTGCGTCTTCTTCGGGTTGGGGAAAAGAGAGTTCTGCCTGGCCCATCGCTCTATGCTTTCCAGATCGTTGTTTATGGCTTCGACGAGTTGGTCTACGTTTTGGATGGCACCAGAAATGTAGATCTGTAGGTCATCAGCGTAGAGCTGGTAACTGTATCTCAGTCCACGGGGAAGGCTATTGATGTAGAGGCTAAATAGCAAAGCGCTCAAGCACGAGCCCTGGGGTGTACCATCTATCACTGATCTCTGTGAGGACATCACATTTCCTATCCGTACCGCCTGGGTGCGATGATCGAGGAAAGAAAAGATAAGGTCGCATGCATTGTCGGTGAAAGAAAATTCCTCTCGAAGTTTTCTCTGTAATTTGCGATGATCAACACAGTTGAAGGCTAACGAGAAGTCAACCAGGACCATAACTGTACACTGCTCGTTGTCGAAATGGTCATAAATATCGTGCGTCACTTTTGCCAAAGCTGTTGTTGTGCTATGGCCCTTTCTGTATCCTGATTGGTTCAATGCAAGCAACCTGCGATCGTCCGCTTCCACGTGCCCAACAATTTGGTCGAGCAGGATCTTCTCGAGAATCTTGGAGATGGCAGGGAGAACACTAATTGGCCGAAAGTGTTTAGGTTCAGTCGGATTTGTTACCTTTGGTATGGGCGTGATGAGACCTTTTTTCCAGACGGCAGGGAACGATCTGGCATCAATCACCGCATTGTACAGGTGAACCAGTACAGGCAGTACAAACGGGACCAACATCTTAACGAATGAGATAGGGATTCCATCTGAATCTGCAGCATTGGTTTGAACTTCCATAATCTTGCGTGACACTTCGTTGGCTGTAGTCCTTCGGAATTCGAACTGCATCCCACCACGGTCCGTAGCAGTACGGTGTGCCGGTTCAACTTCTGCTCTATTGTCAGTCACAAGCAGTCGATGTCCCTCGCACTAGAAACGGTTCATCTCATCAGGATCAGCATGTTCAGCGGCAACGTTCTTCTTGGCGTTGTTATGCACACCCTCACACCGGAGGTTGCTCCAAAGCTTTTTTGCAGGGAGGTTGTGTGCAAAATGTGTTTCCCCGTATCGCTTCTTTGCTGCTGAGATCAACGATGCTGCCTTACTGCGTTTTCGTACGAAGTCGTTCCACTGATTGTCGTTCCTTCTCCTGTTGGGATTTCACGTGTAGAGTGCGTGTGCTAGGTCTCTCACGGCAATCGCCCTTTCAATTTCTGTTGTAATCCATGGCGTACGTGCATCTTTTACAACAATTTCACGTTCAGGAGCATGTCTGTCCATTAGGTTTTGCAGTTTGGTTGTTATTGTCTGTGCTTTAGTGTTAACGTCGTCGGTGTTGAGTGCCTCTCTGAAGTCCATTGTTTGGAAGTCTGCCTGAAGTGCAACAACATCAACATTACGGAAATTTCTGACCATAATACGCTGAGGTGCTGCTTTTCTAACTTTAACGTCAGAGATCAAGAAGATGATCTCATGATCTGAGAGGCTCGAGGATTTTGTCTTAGCTGTACGTATAGATTCAGGACTGTCTGTGATGAGTAGATCGATTGTCGTTGAACTTCTTTCTGCTATTCTTGTGGGTGGTGTTGGTAGGATGGTAAGGTGGAAGGCATCGTGAATACGGATGAGCGATCTCAGATTTCCTGATGACTGTTGAGCAGTGACGTTGATGTTAAAGTCTCCGGCAACGAAGATTCGGTCGAAGGCGAAATCCTGGACATCGAAAAGGAGCTTCTCGTACTCTCGTGCAAAATGCGGGTTCGAAACGGAGGGATTGTAGATGGTGACGATTCCAATGTTGAGATCGTTGATTTTTACCTTAACGACGAGATACTCGAACCTTTGCGCTAGAAACACGTCTGGATCGTATGTAGATTTGAGTACTGGGGTTGCCGTCAGACCTTTCAACACGTAAATCCCGATTCCTCCACAGGATTTGCTTCCACGGCCTCTGTTGGATGGTAATGAATGTTTCACGAAGTTGTAAGCATGATTTGATCTACAGAATAATTAGAGATCTCCAGAATAATTACTAAACAAACCAGAAGAAGTGCCAAAATACCTAGAGAACAACAGAATCATCGGATAGGGAAAACTTTGCCATTAATTTGCGTGGGCGGCTTTCGGTTTACGAGGAAAAGGCTTACAACGTTTTGTTTACAAAATCTGACTTTCGTGCAAGGATATCTTAGATACATGAACAGTAAAAAAAACTGCAGAATAACTTCTAGTCAACCACAAGAAGTTCCAAAATATCCAGCATTATGCAGGTATTTGAAATATCAGTTATATATCATCTGAAAAAGCTTCGTTTTCTGAGCACAGCGATATTTTTTCGAACCCACACTTCATCTCGTTTTTTCAAAATCAAAATTTAAAGCAAAATATTAACTTCACTGTTTGACACTAAACTGACAGCTCGCTCCCGTACAAAGTGACACCGAGGGGCTCTAATAAGGTGATTTTTGCAAATGTAATCGTACTTATTTAAAATAGTTCCAGTGTACCAAAATTGATGATGGGTTCCATTTTTAATGCAGATTACGAATATGCATTTATCTCAATACCCTTGAAGAACCCAATTGGGATGAAACCACTGAAAGCTACTCCAGTTCTGATGGACGAGACTTTTTGGATAGTGGAAGATAAAGTGTTTATTGCGTTGTACCTTTTGACTGTATTTTTAAGATGTATTGTATAGTGACCAAGAATCCTCGGCTCTGTAACGTTAATTCGATTGAGCCGAATGAACAATAATAAAACATAAACATAGTGCGATGTATTTCCTTCGTATAAGCGATGTCGATGTCGATGAATCTGTAGCAATTTACGATTCTACCTGTACCTCGATCTGTACATTGTTAGACGACCTCTGGTATGAGCTTAAATATCAAGGGTGGATTTTTTCTCACGGACAAACGCTTCCTGCTCGAACCGAATCATGACATGTTCGGATCAAGTACAATTCTTGCGCATTGTGTTTCAAATAGAACATATTATTAACCACCAAAATCTACCGTCCTACGTACCTTTATTTTTTGCCCTTGGACTTGGCCATCTTCTTACTGAGCGCCTTCTTCTTCTTCGACACGTTACGCAACCGGGCGGTCTTCTCTTTGGCCAGTTTGGCCTCTTTCTGCATCCTTTGTTTCACGATTTGATCCGCCGACTTCAGACCCAAATCGCGCATCTTTTTCTGATCCAGCTTGGCGTTGTGCCGACCCCAGTGCGTGTGCGGATAGCTATTTTTCTGGACAGACACGGCTTCCTCTCCGTCGCTGGCATCGCTATCCTGGTGTTCTCGGGTCATCTGATCATCAACCTTGGTGCGGTCCTTCCACTTGTCATACCGGCCGGTTTTGTACGAAGCAGCAATCCAAACTCCGTGTTCTGTTCGGATTTTACCTGCCTTGGGGTTCACCACGTTGACCATCTTCTTCTTTTTGCGGTCCCACTTTTGCAATCGCTGGTGGGACCGTTGATCCTGAGCCGTGTCTCCTATGACCGACAGTTCAGCTGTATTGGCTTCCTTGGCGAAACTGTTGATTGCGTAGCCATCCTCTTCGACGTGATCCTTAGACTTGTAGGAGATATAGTTCTCATCGTCCTTGTTTGGTTTATGTTTCTTCTTCTTGGGGCCATCTAGTTCGCTGTCCTGTTCCTCGGTTGTAGCCTTCTTCTGTTCCTCTAGCTCTAGTTCCAACTGCTTTTGCTTGTGGTTTTCAATCTTGATAGAATCCTTGTCTCGCTTGTCGGCCATTACCACCAACTGTTTCGAGTTGTTCTTCGGGTTCAGTTCGAAAATGGTTGAATGCGGCCGATAGTTCTTCATTTGCGCCAGGAAGCTACTTCGGAATTCATCTGTGTTCACGGTCGGTTTCTTCTTCTACAATGTTCCAAAACCATAAGTAAATCGCTCTCATTATTAACTTCAACCACAGACAAACAGACGTAACGTCTGTTTGTCTGTGCTTCAACCCTTACCTTAGCGTCGACATTTTTCTGTTTCTTCTTTTGCTTGTCAACCGTCTTGTCTTCATTCTCCTTCTCCATGGCCTTTGCGAAATCTTCCAGCACTTGCAGCTCACCGATCTTGAATTGCTTGGCTTTCTTGTTGGCACTCGCCGATGCGGCCGGCCGGGTCGCAATGTACTGCTTGTAGGCGTTGTTACTGACCCGGAACGCCGTAGCCAGATCAATGTGCTTCACGTACTCTAACACCAGCTGGTGGTCCGCTTCAACCAGATCTGGGGGAGCAATTCCAAGACATCCAGCATCGCTAAGGTTCATCGACCGACTCAGGAACATATGCAACTCAATCATATGAGCGATATCATCGTTGGAAAAGATGTTGTAAGCAGTTCCGCTTCTCCCTGCTCGAGCACAGCGACCAACTCGATGAATGAACAGCTTCGGCTTGCCAGGAAAGTGCAAGTTTACCACATAGTCCAACGATGGAATGTCCAAACCACGAGCAGCAATGTCCGTCACCACCAGAATATTCACCTTCTTCATCGTAAACTTGGCCGTGTTGATCTTACGAGCCGAAGCATCCAGACTGGAGAAAACGAACGTGTTGGAAATTCCCGTTCTTGTTAAAATCTGCAAAAGAAAAGCTAGAATCAATCCGAAATCCCCGTTCAACAATTCTTCCCTTACCAAAGAAATCAACTCCACATGGTGTTGCGTGCCGGCAAAAATTACGATTTGGGCATTCTTCGGAATCACCTCCCGAAGCAGAACCAACAAAGTGGCATACCGCTCGTCTGGCCTGCAGTAGATGAACTTCAGATCCAGCGCTTCCGGAATTTTCGATTCCACATCCAACCGGATCAGCGTGGGATCGCTCAGGCCCGCTTTGGCAAATTCTACCATCAACTTTGGCAGCGTTGCACTGAACAGTACCATTTGCCTCGCTTCCGGCAATCTGTGCAACGTCTCCGTCAGCTGTTCTCCGAAACCCATCTCGAACAGCCGATCCGCTTCATCGAACACGCAATACTGCATCGACGATAGCTTCAAGTCCATCTCCACGCACAGATGCAAAAATCGTCCCGGTGTGGCCACAATGATGTCCGGCAGCGTGTGAATCGCCGCAAACTGTGAATCCATCGAGTCACCTCCCAGCACCAGAATCGTCTTCAAATCGGAAAACTTTCCCAACTGTTTGATAAACTTGAACGTCTGAATCGCCAACTCTCTGGTCGGGGTCAAAATCAATGCCCTCGCGCCGGACCTGATCTCCCGCTGCTTTAGCTTTTCAAACAACGGAATCAGAAAGCAGCCGGTCTTACCAGAACCGGTTTTGGCCATAGCGACCACGTCGCGACCCTCCAGAATCATAGGAATAGCTTTACGCTGGATCGGAGTCGGAATTTTGTAGCCCATCTTGAGGATTCCCTTCAGGATCGGCATGCTGAGGCCCATGGCCTGGAATCCTCCGCCCTTCTTTTTCTTGCCTTTTTTCGATCCCTCATCGTCGTCGTAGTCCAGGTCGACATCTTCAACGGAAAACCCGGGAAGCACGTTCGGATCCTCCTCGTCCATCACGATTGTGGAGATTTGCACTTGCTGCACTACTTTCTGAACGATTATCTTGGCGAAATTTAAACAAATTTAAATTTTATGCTGCGAAAAAAGACCTCCGAAAAAACTGAACGGCGTGAACAAACGCGAGATTTGCGGTAAACAAAAACACGTGTGGAACTGACGTTTGCTCACTAACGGGTGACGTCGATTAGGTCAACCCGGTCACCCAGTAAAAGTTTACTTTTTTTCATTAGGGTGATAAAATCGCTGCCAACATTTAAAAAGGGCGAAATTGTTTTTGTAAACATGACACCGACAGATAGAGGAATGTTTCCTCTACCAGCTGGCATCCTTGATTTGCAGAAGTGAGCTCTAACCTTGTATTGGGGTTTAGAAATCAACGCTCATGCACTTATCAACTACGTCGTCTACACAGCAAAAAAAGTTGTTGAATATTACATCGAAACTGCTGCAACCAGGTCAATCCATCGGTTGTGTAATATCACATTGTACGATGTATATCGATTTTGCGAACAATATTACATCCATTGATGTAATATTGTATCTGCTTTTAGTTATTACATTATTATTTCATACATCAGCTTGAATTACGTTCATCGATATTACTTTTTTTTTGCTGTGTATCTTCGGCCGATATGTCATGCTTACTCAGCAGTGAGGATATAGAATTTTTCCTATATATAACCCAAGACAACAAATCAAGAAGACTGGCAACTTTGCCAGAATCCAAGCGACAGATGCAGCAGCGCTGCACTTGAGTGAAGGTGGAAGCAACGCATAGAAAAATGAGCAAATACACAAACCCTTCTTCTGAGGATGTAATCTTTGCTATCAAATTCGTTCGAAGCATTTACCTTTGAGCGGCAGATGACGCGATTGTACCGGTCTCATAGCGTTTGTATGTGAAAATGAAAGAGTTGCCAGTCTTCTTGATTTGTTGTCTTCGATATAACTTAGTTATTTTATTTTGTTATTTTAAATTTGATAAAGACTGTACATATTTTGTTTAATATCATAAAGATGACGACCCTACAAATCGAACCCTTTCTTTTACTTATTAAACTTCTTATACTTTCCTTCAATCATCTGATCTACATAATACATATTTATTATTTATGTACTTTGTATACAATATTTTTCTTTTCTTTTTGTTTTTTATGTTATGTATTATACTTATTTGTTCCGTTTTTTTTTTTTTTATTCTCGCACAGAAACTCCATCACCCGGTGGGTGACATCCTTCACCATTAGCTCTTCCATCTCCGAGACCTTGACCGCACACCAGCAACGAATACAACTTGGGGCGAGTGGAACTTGAATTCCTTTTCCACCTGCTTGACGTAGGGGGTTTCATTGTCAGATGAGGCTGGTGGTTTGAGTCCGGGAAGTGGATGTGTGTTGCCGTCTTCTCTATGACGCGCTTGATGTATTGGCGCCCACGACCGATTATAGATGACTGATCCGTCATCTATTTTAATGTAACCTCTCCCGGGAATCCAATCGAGAAATCACTTCATCCTTGGCCCCCAGCATAGCTCGCATTTTGCCGATTTTTAACCGCACGATCAGCTGATGTACGTGGTGGTTTCCTTCATTACTTCACGTTTTAACTTTGATAATTTCCACCAGCTCCGCCAGGACAATCGCCACCTTGAACGAATCAATGCAAATCTAGATGCAAATTAAATTTTTTAACACCATGTTTATTATCGAGATCGTTGAAAACTGACAGTGAGTGTGGCAGAGTGCTTCGCGGTCGACCTGAAAACTGCACGGCTTGCTTGACAATTTGTGTGCATAGGTGCATGCAGAAAAGATAAATTAAGAATAGAAAGAATAGACAGGATGGATTGAAATTTTGTGCGCGTTGAAAATTTAAGGAGTGATTTGGGTAAAAATGGGATAATCCAGGGGATAATCCTAAAGTGTCGTTCCCCATGGACATGACACTTAATTCTGACTTCTGCCCGAAAATCGAGGCGACACATCTAAATCTCAATTCTAGATGCTCAAAAAATCTCACACTAGCGAATCAATCTTCGAAAAATCATCTTTCATTTGTCGCATCTACTTGCATCGCTCATCATCTTTTTGCAGGAAATCTTCAAAATCGACATAAATCTTCCTTCTATCTACTCAGCGTGCGTGCAGCTAGCCACAGCAAAACACAATCTTTTCTGCATCGTAGATAGAGTCGTCCCCCTCGCCGAAAATCGTAAACGGCCGATTTTAATGTGCAGTGATCCGAACTGTCAAGACCATGGTATTTTTTGATCTAGATAAAAATTATTTGTCCAGATAAGATCGCACAGAAAAAAAAGTTGTTGAATACATCCAAACTGCTGCAACCAGGTCAATCCATCGGTTGTGTAATATAACGTTGTACGATGTACATCGATTTTGCGAACAAAATTACATCCATTGATGTAATATTGTATCTGCTTTTTGCTATTACATCATTATTTCATACATCAGCTTGAATTACATTGATCGATATTACATTTTTTTTGCTGTGCATACACGAACCAATTCATAACTTTTGCATGCTGGTTCATGGCTTAGCTAAATATTTCCCGTTAACACGGAGCCAGATGCGAGGCCAGATGTCAATAGTGTGCTTTGGTCAGAAATTTTATGGTTTTTGCTATGGTCATTCATGTCGGTTTGTCGGTGGCTTGCCTATACTCAAAAAATTTCACACATTTTTATTGACGAATTTCCATGTGAAATTTCATGCAAGTTTTCATGTAACCACACATAAACAAAATCCACTCAGAAGTACACATGAAATGTATGTGTCAAATGAATAGTATGAGTGGTTACACATGGCTTTTATGTGTACACATATTAAGTATGTACCTGGCACATTACTGAAAAAATTGTTCATATTTCATTTATGTGTCGCACACAAGAGGCACGTGTCCAAGGGGTAAGTCACTCAGCACATTGTACCGAAATTATATTCGGCACAGCTTGGGCACATCCATCGGTACACCTTCAACATACCTTCGGCACACCTTCCGCACAATATCGTAGGCATTAGATTGTTGTAAATAAAATGGGAGCGCTGCTGGAGAACTGTCATTGAAGTTGTTCACAACATTACGTGCAGTTTGACTGTAGTTTCAGGAACATTCTCTAATTGAGTATTCCAGAGAAACTCAGACCATCAATTTACTTACAGATCTAAATATGAAATGTAGATTCTAGAGTGGGCTCAAGAGAAAGAAGCAGTGAGTACCCCATTAGTACCCTTAATTCAAATAATGCTGCAACTCACACAAAACAAACTAAAGAAGTCTATTCATCATCCTCTAAAGTCAGTCTTCAACAATGCTCCCCACCGGTTCCAACTCTTTCCGGCCGCTGATATACCGATGCTTTTCACATCACGAAAAGTTAGGTTTCTGGTCTGCCTTTAAGGGCATTAAAAAGCACTAAAACACAGGACTTTTATTACCCTATGGAACACAAAACACCATAATTTTACACACCCGCCACTTCCCACGTCATCCTCAATCCGATTTATCCTTGCGATTTCAAACCAAAACATTCAAGGTGTCAGAAATACCGGGTTGCCGGCAGGGTTGCTTCCACTCACTTGCTATAAAAAACATATTTTTTCGGAATTATGCAATCATTAGATGATATAATGGTATGCTGTACTTGTAAGTAATGAGAAGAGGGTTTAAAGTATGTGTTTGACTCATAAAACCTAGGGGCATCCTACTCTAAACCTTAGTTCCAATATTCATTAAGTATTGTTAAATCTCTCTTAAGTATTTTTAAGTATTTTCAAATATTTTTATCTTGACGTTATTTTAATCATAGTAAGTCTTGGCTATAACATCGGTTTCTAGTACAATTGTTTTTTTTTTTTATTTTGATGTCAAGCATTATGCGTGAATTTTGCTAAATGTCTACCGAAGAGTTAGTCTCCTGTATGGTAAGTAAAATATCTATTTATTCACTATACTCATACTGATAGGATAAAATAGCTATTTTGTTGATTTGAATATAATTTAATCGACTATTGCTGTTACTCATTTTATATTAAATATTTTATTTGCAGTCATCATTCAACGGTGCTTTGGTGATTTCCCGAGGATTTTCGTGTAAAGATGAAAAAAAGTGCTGAACGTACTGGCATTTTCAAGTAGCCTAACCAATGCGCTCTTGAAGTCTGAAGCTACATCACAAATGGGAGAGAACATAAGGACAATGACAGAGTTAATTTGGAAACGGCACGACGTCAACTATGCAGATCTGTATGGGGATTTCAGTGAAACCCCGAGAACTTCCATTTGTTTACCCAATTGTTACTCCTAACCTCGAGTATGCCACGAGTAATCGGTCCTCGTTCCACTAACATTAGGTTTATGAAAACTCTGTTAACCTAAAATTGAACTTCAGTTTTGTGAAGCTAATGCAAACGAGCTTTGACAAATAAAAAACATACATATATATTTAAAAAAAAGTCATGGTTTACATTTGGCTCACGGTCCTCTTTCACATGTTTGCCTAAGTTACTAAATTTGCTCAATTGATTCAAATTAATCTCTTATCTATTTCTATCTATTTATGTATTATCTATCTACCCTTATTTTGATCGAAAAAAATCCAAAATACTTATGACAAATCCGTTCCGATCCAAATAGGGAATAGGAGGGAATATTATAATGAAACTTGTTCAGAAAACGTGTGTTTGCTCAAATACTAACTCTTATAGCTACTTAAATAAGAGAGACGGATACTTCAGGTTGAGAATCGGTGCAGCTGGAAAGCAGATTTTTTTTTAATTTTCTCTTATGTCAGAAGAAAAAACACATTCTCATTAACGAAAGACCATAATTCACCTTTCCTCTGAAGTTGTAAATCTCTTCTTTTGTATGATATAGGTATTCACTAAATACTTTAACGCTAGCAATGCACAAAATCCAAAATCCCTGACAACATTGAGTAAACAAACAACATAAATTTGTCTAGCAACCAGGGAAACAATCTAGTAATAAGTATTTCTTAAGTATTTTTAAGTATTTATAGGTATCTTAGATATCAATTAGAACTTTATAAGAGAAAAACAAAGTTTAGAGTGGGATGCCCCTAGCATAAAACCTTTCAATTTTGCTGACGCTCTATAAGCGATCTTATGATTCGTGAGCGTTCACTCAGAGTGAGCACTCACGACCCGCATAAACAATAACCATAAGAAGTGCCTAACCACAAATTCGGGATATCATCCCAACTTTATGTGGTAGGGTCGTACCATCTATGATATCGTTAGTGTATGGTAGCCGTTTATTAGGGGAGTCGTAAAATTGCTGATTGTGACGCACTGAAAGCAATATTGACAGATTTTATGTGTCAAACACATACTTCACGTCCTCATCTTGTAACTTACAAGTACTAATTGTCACTATACCATCTCATGATTTTATAATTCTGAAAAACATTTTTTTATAGCAAGTGAGTGGAAGTAACCCTGGTTGCCGGTATGGGTATTTTACAAACAATCGCAGCTTGCTCTATTACCGGCACAATCGGCAAGCCTGCGGCACATTTTTAAATTCCATAGGTACTAAACTCGGTACTAAAACGTCAAAATCGAGCCGTTATCAAATGTTACGCCTGGTATATTCGTTTTAAATCAGGTAACACGGTAGCAAAGATTGACAGTTTCTAATGGGAATTTTCAGGTTCAGTGAAAAGATAGTACAAAAAAGTCCGCCAAGTATCACGCACAGCCTGACGTTTACTTTACTTTACTTTACTACACGGAAAGAAATCTCCTTATACCTTTTGGCAAATTTCTATTGCTGATTATTCATAAAATGTATAAGTCAACTAATAAGCAGACGCCGAGGCAGACGCCTTGCAAAAAGTTAATGAGGATCTTGTGTCAAATGAAATGTATAAACGATCACACATACCTTTTATGCATTCTTATAGGACCTATGTGGTTTGTCTTTTGGCATGTATAAGGCTGATGTTTTGGCAAAAATGTATAAGTGAAACACATGAATAAAATAATTCATTTTCGTTTCGTGTAGAGAGGGTCTGTCAAAGCCAGAGCCAATCGAAATTAGTTGAAATTATCGTGCAAATTATTTATTTTGGCCCATTTTAACCTTTATTTCTCAATGTACAATCAGTTGAACTAACTCTGTCAACAAAATCGACCTCTTTGTCGAACCCTCCAAAATGTCAAACTCAGCTGGTCGGTTCCTGAAAATAAAAATAAAAAAAGAGCAAACAACCACAACAATCAACATGGATCTCGAATCACAGTTTCTGAGTTTATCGACAAAATTTCTGTTTATCAACTGCGGCGGTCAGTCCAGCGACTATCGGAACGAGTTGAACACACTTCTTAACGAGTTGAATGGATTGGACTACAAAAATCAACAGATTTCAGACGTCAGGGTAAGTTTTTCCAGCGGCACATTGGCAGAACTTTTATTGTGTGTGTGTGTATTCAATCTAACCCCCACTGGCCGGCAGTGTTATTATGGAAGAACTCTCTACAATGTCGCATTTATGGTCATTGTAGACAGCTTTAGTCTGGGAGTTCGAAGGTGATTGCAGATCCAGCAACCCATTTCAGACTGTCCGGAGAGTCACTCCCATTCCGAGGTTACTTTCACTTACAATAAGCCCCGCATGTATGCATCACCGTTATCAAATGGATATTTATATTACATACACGCTTCCAGGTTTGAAAATATATTTTTTCAAACCTGGCATGTATTTAGTTTATTTTTGATATATATTTTTTTTTATAATTGGAAAGCTCTCACCATATTCTGCTCTTCCGCCGTCGTTGATTACTTCCTTTGGAATCCCTTGGACTTTTTCTCTAACGCTTCGTATTTCATTCCGTGCTTCACCGGCAATTTCCTTCCGTAGATCGTCCTTGGTTGGTTCTAAAATGATTCCGCCTTTTTTGGTCGGCTTCATTGAATTGAATTGAATTGCCATGGTGATCTGGGATGAGGCTCACGTCCAAAGTCGCTGTTCCACCAAGCGCTCCGTGTGCGAAAAGAGAATGAAAGACATACGAAAGGGATCAGTTTCAAGAAGTGACAGTTTCATCAGATTCCCCAACTAACCATAGTCAAGCAAAGTAAGAATATACAAGCTATATTGCGACTATATGGTTACTTGGGTACTCATATGGCCGTCAGAATGGTTCATCGGTTACGAAGTGAATATTTCTGAAAGTGATGCGTTATATTTCTCAATGTTTTGATTTTATCCTAACGTTACCTCCATGTTATATCACAGACAAGCAGACACAACACATTGAACATTTATCATTGTAAACCCTACTGCCATCTGTCGTATATACTTTGATGGGCAATACACTCAACAGATGGTTGTAGTGTGTAAACGTCAAACGCTAGGGAATTGATTTTGTGCACCACAGGTGGCGGTACTACCAACTAAGAAACATTTAAATTGACCGTTAAAAACGATTTCGATGGAGGTTTTAAGAATGTTATGTCTGCTTGTCTGTGATGATACCTTCACTATCGCAACTTCGGGTAATCTGCGAAAGTATTTGCATTTTTTTCTCAGGCACTTTTGATCTAACTGCAATTACTCTCTCATACACGAAATGTGCCACGACCAAATTGGCACAACGACGCCCTATACGCTCTCTGACCGAAGCGCAGGGACATTGGCAGATCTTTTGATTGTATACGAAAATGCTTTCAGGCACCGGTTCGGCTGGTGGAGTCCTTCGTCAATATTCCAACGAACGAGGATACACTGATCGTGAAGGCATGCTGCCTGACGAAGACGCTGATCATTAGGCAAAAGATCACGATTCCGGTCAATGTGGCGACGGTGCAGATCGGGTGGTTGCTCAAGTGCTTGGAACGGTGCTTCTATCAGGTGGTATGTGAAGTGCTGGGAACGTTGCAGGTCTTGCTGAAACATTGCGGTGAACATGTGGGGCTGTTTGGGGAGTTTTTGGTGTCGAGCAATGGAGTGCTGGTGAATCTGCTCGCGGACCCGGACTACAGAAAGGTGGATAGAAGTAGGACGTACGATAGTAGTTCGCCAGGTGAAATCTACCTTGCGACGATGCTTTGCCTAGAAGCGTTTCTAGTTTCCTGTGAGGGAAATCCAGCGATGGAAATGTATCTCCCCGTGATAGGCGATGCTATAGTATCGTTGACGTTCCGGGTGAAAAGTGATTGGTTGCCGGAAGTTTCCTTCTATAGCTTGATGATATCGGCTTTGAACTGCTTGAGATTGGTTTCGACTCAGCAAGAAGATTGGCTCCGTGAGCACCTGGGCAAGTTACTGGGTGTATCAAAGGCGTACATCATGTATGGAATTCCCGGAATAAATCAACTGGCGCCACAGAAGATTATGGTTTCACAGCAGGGCGTTCCGGAGCCGCAGCATATTCCCATCAACAAGGGTGGAAAGGTTCCCAAGACGAGGAAAACACGGACGATTGGCAAAGGGAAAGGTAGTAAGGGTGACACTAGGAAGGCAGCAACCAAAACTGGGTCCATCTGGGACGAAAACAGTCGGCAACCGTACTCGGAACAGAGCATCGAGTTGGACAGTAAGTAGATTCATAAGTATGGAAAATCAGGACACTAATCAATTTGTCTTCTTTCAGTGCCAACGTTGGTACCTACTATTAGCAGTTCCTACCGCACTAGCGATTCGGACTTCTCCGAAAGTGAAACTTCTCGGGCTCAAATCGATCGTCACAAGCTATCCAAACTGCGACTGTCCGCTCTCACACTGATCAGTACCGTCGCTCAAACAGTAGAGAAGAAAGTTATGTTCGGCTATTGGCATGCTCTATTTCCCGACGAAAGCCGAACACCAGCGACCGTCTCTCTGTTGAACTGTGTCCTGAAGGACCCCTCTCCAAAATGCAGGATAGCGGCCATTCAGGCAATATCGTTCTTGCTGTACAAATCGAAACCGTTCCTCATTCAAGCGGAAAGCAGCAAAAAATGCTCCGTTTCTTTCACTCCATTCTCGGTCGCTCTGGGGAACATGATCACCGAAATGTACCAAATGATCACCCAGGCCCTTGCGGACGAAAGCGATTACTCCGTCCTAACGCAGATTCTAAAATGCCTAACGGTGTTTATCCAAGCCACCCCGTTCCACCGACTGCAGCGTGGCATCGTAACGAAGTTTGTCCGATTTGTCCGAATACTGACGAGGCACAAGGATCCTACCATCAAAGTTGGCGCCCTGATGGTGATGGGCTTCCTCATATCGGTCAGTGAAATAACATCGGAGATTTCCGAGATCGTCGGAATCCCGAAGACCGAAATTACCAACAAGAGTAGCGAGACAAGGAAGAAGAACAACACCGAAGCTTTGAGCGTCCAATTCGATGACGAGGAGGAAGAGTTGATGCAATCTGACGAAGAACTGGAACCATCAGCTCAACTGGAAACTCCGGACGGTGACGGCTCGACCTCAAATGCCCCGAAGATATCCTGGTTGCTACAGATAGCCATGGAAAACCTAGGCGTAACAATCAATGAGCACAAGGTCGCCACTCCGTCGGTGGTGATGCCCGTCCGTATGGAGTGTCTTCAGGTGCTGTCGGCAATGACTTCGCACTATTCGCTGCTGGCCGAGCATCTGGCGCTGGTGTCCGTTGCGTTGAAGAACTCCTTCAACGACGCCATCCCGGAGATTAAACTGTACTCGGGGCGGGTTCTGGATTTGCTGGGACATGCCATCAACACTTCGCTGCTGCTGAAAGGTGAGTCGGGATGGTTGACTTGGTGCAGTTTGCCCTGTTCAGTGTTCAATTTCTATTTCAATACTGTCACGTAATCGATCAATGATCAATTTATGATGCTAGGCATTGAATTATGCGTGTACACGGCGAATGAGAACGACCCAAATTTGAGTTTAGTTGTTATTGTTATTGTTGTTATTGTTATTGTTGTTATTGTTTATTGAAAAATTCAACTGACAATTACTGTCTAAATGAATAAAACTTAAACTAAATAGTTACGGTCAACGGTACGGAAAAGGCCAAGTAGCCGATGACGAAAAACGTCAGCTGATACATTGAAGTCGAACATATAAAAAAGTTGTTGAATTGCCGGCTGATTGCTCGAATTGGCTCGTGTTGTGTATAATTCCGGCTCCGTGGTTCCAAAAACAGAAAGTCGCGTTGACGAAGAGACCTCGCAGGGGCATACATATTTAGCTGTGACAGCAGTGTTGGGCAGTCAATGTCACCTGTAAGCAGCTTTCCAGCGAACATAGCTTGAGCGACCGTCCGTCTCACCTCTAATGGCTCGATTCCCAGGAGACGGCAACGCTCCTCGTACGGTGGCAAGTTCGTTGGGTCACGCCAGTTGAGGAAACGAAGAGCATATCTCACAAACTTGCGTTGAACGGATTCAATTATAGTGATCCAGCTAGCATGGAAAGGGCACCAAACAACTGAACTTGACTCCAATAAGGATCGCACAAGCGAGCAGTAAAGTGACCTGAGACATAGCGGGTCACGAAACTCGTCGGCAATTTTGAAAATAAAGCCCAATTGTCGATAAGCTCTGGAGATGATGTCATTGTAGTGGATTCTGAAAGTGAGTCTGCAGTCCAAGGTAACGCCGAGATCCTTTATGTGCTCTACACGAGCAAGACAGCGTCTGTAAAGAACATAGTCAAACATGATTGGTTCGATTTTTCGGTGATAGGAAATAATGTTACATTTTTCTATGCTTAGACTCATCAAATTTCTTGAGCACCAGTCAGCAAAAATACCTAACATATTCTGGAGATCCCAGCAGTCCGAGAGGCTTTTAATAATTTTGTAGATTTTCGTATCGTCTGCATAGAAAACGCGACATCCTGATGGTATCAGCAAGGCGACATCGTTTAAAAAGATCGAAAATAGTAGCGGTTCTAGGTTACTGCCTTGCGGGACTCCCGAGTTGTTTGAGAAAACATCCGATTCAGACGCGCCAATCTTGACATGTACATAGCGATTCACCAAGTAAGATCTGAACCAATCCACAGCAGTTGACGAGATGCCAAGTATCTGCAGCTTGGCCAGCAAGATATTATGGTCCACCGTGTCAAATGCAGCTTTTAGATCCATATACGCAGTATCGACTTGCCATCCTGAATCCATGCATCGCAGACAGTTAGAAGTGAACTGCACCAGGTTCGTGGACACGGAGCGCTTCGGGTAGAAACCGTGTTGTTCTGTATCGATATAATTTTTGCAGCGTGCGAACAGAGCACCATTTATGATAATCTCGAACAGTTTTGAGCAGGCACACAGGGAGGTGATTCCACGATAATTTATGACATTCCGTTTATCTCCTTTTTTGTGCACTGGGAACAGATAAGAAAGTTTCCAGCGGCAGGGGAACTCACATTGCTGTGCCGAGAGATTGAATAGCCTCGCAAGTGGAAGGCAGAGATTGGCTACACAACGTTTTAGAACTGATGACGGAATGCCGTCAGGTCCGGAGGCGAACGAGAGCTTCAGTTTGCGTGTTGCGGCTATCACCATGTCTTCTGAAATGCGTGGAATAACGAAACTAAACACATCACGTGGCATCCCAACAGCAGCATCCAGCACTTGTGTTGGCGAAGCGGAGAAATCGTTGAATACTTGCTTGAAATGACGAGCAAACAAGTCGCATTTTTCTCTTTCACTATTAGCCGAGTCATTCCCGAGAAACATGGAACAAGGCAACCCAGATTCCTTCCGTTTTGAGTTGACAAACGACCAAAAACTTTTCGGATTCTTGCGAAGGTTCGCTTCCGTGCGTCTCACGTGTCGATTATAGAGAAAACGATTGTAATTTCGATAACTACGACTCGCAAAATTGAACAGTCGTTTGTAGTACAGCGAGCGAGAGTTACAATACTTTCGGAGGGCGGCAGAGCGTTGACGTTTTAGCACGCGTAGGCGTGGATTAGACCATGCAGGCTTTAGCGGAGGTCGTCGAGCTGGGACAATGCGGAAAATAGCATCTTCCAGTGCAGCACTGAAAAAATCCACTGCATCCACGCTAGGGGCAGTTTCGATAAATTGCCAATCAATTTCCGCAAGCGCATTGTTCAATGCAACATAATCGGCCCGCCGAAAGTCCAAAGAGTAGCACTCAGATGACGGCGTAAAAAGAATCGGTGCAGGTAAACTAAATGACACGACGAGAGCGGGATGATCGGCATCTAGATCAATCAGTGGCTCGACCGGCAAGGGAACAGAAGTGCCCGGTAGTGCGGAATCATTTGCCAGGACAAGATCTAGCAAACGTCCATTTCGGTTCGGAAAAGTATTCACTTGTGTGAACCCGTAAAAGTTAAAACCGTCCAAAAGAGCACAGCAAGCAACCGGCATATGCGAAAGCAGTGGATCAATTAATGGTGTGCCACTGTCTGTAAAGCGCCACTGCAGACCAGCTTGATTGTAGTCACCAAATACGAAAGCGGGAGAGCAGGGACTTAATTGTGATGAAATTGACCCTAACGATTCCACATGCTCACGGATGATCGTGCAGTCGTTTTTGCGGTCGGGAGGCAGGTAGATTGCGCCTACACTAAGCTTGGAAGTTCTACGACAATCCACAGCTGTTCCAGTTGACTGGAAATGGGTGACGTACTTACGTAGCTGGCTAGTCTAGTAGATACTGCAATCAGGACTCCGCCACCGCGCGATTTTTGACTGTTTAGGGCAAACCGGGCAGTTCTGAAGACGGAAAAGAGTGACCCGAAAAGTTGCGATGAGTAAATTCGGTCGTCCAGCCACGTTTCCGTCAGCACAATCAAATCATATTCGGCCTCCGCAACAGCCAGGAAAAACGAGTCGATTTTAGTCCTCAGCCCACGCACGTTTTGGTAGTAGATCCGGAGACCATTCGAGGAGCAATCACGGGAACTAGCAATACAAAGGACATCAGGTACCGAAAGCTCGGAATCGCTAACATACTCGCCTGAGGTTGCAGGCCGGAAGCCCCCGATACCATCTTCGACCACAGGACCGGTACGATGACGATGGCGGATGTCTGCAGCAAGCGCGACTTGGTCGGGAGGTTCGGAAGCTTCCTCAGTGCCTGTTTTAGGGTGTCCCGGATCCGAGGAAGAGCAGGTGGCGGCATAAACCTGCTGGTAGTTGGCAGGACGGATGCATGGACATGATGTGGCTAGTGTGGAGATCGCAGAACCGGAAACACAGCTAGAAGTTGAAGCGGTATCAGGCAAAGGAGAAGCTGAATCGTCAATATACTTGCCAGTAATAGCTGGTTGGAAGACCCCCGACCTACATCTACACTCAGGGCCGAGACGACTATGCAGAGCGCTAGCTGGAATAAGCGCGACTGAGGCAGAGAAATCAGGGGCTTCCACAGTGCTATCCACGATGCGTCTCGGTGGTGATGGTGGTGGTCCAGAAGCAAAAAAGGTAGCAGCATTATTCTTGAAGCGTTGCACTGGAACACGGAAACTGATCAGGCAAATGACTGTAACTAATGTATGCATACTTGCCTGACGACGCTGCTTGGGAGACCTCACCACCGAACTCGACCGCAGGGCCAGAACGACTCTGATGGCAGGAAATAGAACGGCTTTGATGGCGGGAAACAGCTAGCGCGACTGGATCGAGTGGTTCGAGGTCTCCCATAATGCGACAGGCAGTGCGTTCTGGTCTACAGCGCTCCAATTCACAACGCAAAATCCAATTCTGAATCAGCAGACTGGGTCTAGTCCGGAAATGGGAGTTGAGAACTCGGAAGGTCCCGGAATAGGAGAGATCGAGATGGTAGGCGTGTTCAAACGAGGCAACCACATGTTTTTTGAACCGTCTTCAAATTCACGGAACAAAATTCCTTTCGGCCATGTATCCGATCTAAGAGCAGCTTCGCGTAGTTTGGGATCCATTCCGACTTTGTACGAGATGAAGCTCATACGGCTGATGTCGGATCCTTTTTTGACTAGCGGCACAACCTTAATCGGATCTTCACACTGTACACAACCTTTGACCAGCTTCTCGATTGATTCAGATTTCACGCTAGGATGAATACGAGAAAGGTACAGCCAAAACAGCTCGGTGGGTTCAGGGACAGTAAGGACCTCGGTAAAGGCATTGTCGCCTGTTACTGCTTTAGAACCACCAACAAGTGGTTTGCTAGTGAGCGAGCCTTCATCGCGGCGCCGTTTTAATGGCGGTTGACGCATGAAATCGGAGTTTGTCGGAGTTGTCAATGCGATTCGTTTCGATAGCTGAGCGATCTGCTGTTCTTGTTTAGCCATTTCCTTCCTAAGCTCAGCGTGTGCGATTTCCTGTCTCTCGGTGATAGAATTAATCACACTGCCAAACGACGAGACGGCAGTTTTGAACCGAGCACATTTCATCAGCTTGGCGCACTCGTTACACATCCAAAACAGGTTCGGGCTAGTGTGGACAATATTCAAAAAAGCCTTATTCAGCTTTGTGCCGCCGCACTTTAGGTGAATCATCCTGTCGCAAAAAGCCATGCAGGAGATGGATTCTTCATCGCCTTTAACTGGTTTAGCGCATTGGTCACAGGCGAAAGTCATGCTGACTCAGCTTCCAAAAGTGATTTAGAAACAGCGGTGGAGATGCTCTAATACGCAAAGAGGAATTGGATTCTCAATATCGCCCAATGCTAGTCTGATATCGACAATAACACAACAGTATACACTGCAATATGTCCGATTGAATACCTTTTTCACTGTTTTCACAACACAAAATATGCTCTAATTAGACGATTATCGCAACGAACTGCACTTTCTACTAACAAACAAGTACAATATTACAGGTATACCGAACGGAAAAAAAAACGAATAACGGTAGCCCGTGTGATAAAAAATCGACAAATTTAGCAGTGCACAATCACGACGATGTGAATAACAACAACTGTGATGACAATGAGTTCGCTCATAATCGCCTAAACTGCAGGAACTCAGCGATGAGTAAATTTTCCTTGTGGTTTCCTATGGAAACCCTCAAAAATCTGCCGGAAAATGAGGAAATTGACGAAAATTTTATTCAGTCTAGGAGTAGTACTTTTCTCATATTGGGATTTTTTTTCCTGGAAAAACCAGGGAAAACATGAGGCAAATTTACTCATTGCTGAGTTCCTGCACTTTGTGATTTATGAGCTACCTAAACTCAAGTTTGGTGTGTTCTCATTCGCCGTGTACGGGTCAGATAGTTCAGTGCCAACATTTCAAAGGGGCGTAATTGCATTTGTAAACAATAGCTTTGGCCATCGATTTCTCGCGAATAAAAGCTCACCCATGAAAAATAATAACACCAACAGGTAGAGGAATGTTTCTTCTACCAGCTAGCATTGATATTTTGGAGGGGTGAGATCTCATTCGCGAAAAATTGACGGCTAAAGCCATTGTTTACAAAAGCAATTACGCCCCTTTGAAATGTTGGCACTGAGTTGTCGAATGGTTGTCCGTTTTTTGTATGTGGAAAGGTATCGCATTGGTGGCTGCTAGATGATTTGCAAAACCCGAGTAAAAATCATTATTTAATGTTTCGTTAAAGCATGTTATCAAGAATTAGAGATGCGTTAACCCATTTACGCCCATTGATCTATTTATAGATCAGTTACATTTTTGATTACTTTCGAGAAACAAGAGCTCAAAAGTTATCCTGATGATCCAGCCTATAAACAAAGGTTTTTTTTTATATCTTTATTAAGGACACTTTCAGCCCTGGGCTGGCTCGTCTCCCTAAACAATGGTGCTGTTTTCTGCAATATTGTTCAGGAGATCAAGACCTTTTGTATCGAGGACAGTTTAGTTCGGAGTTCTCTCGCTAGGCGGCACTAGTGTTCTTATGAATATCGGGTCGACATCTCGAGATCTTTGCTATATACTAAGTTTCTGTTTTCTGTATTGGGAGGAGGCGAAGACCTTTAAATTGTGAACAATTTAATTCGGAATTCTAGTGAGAGATGACAGTCTGATGTCTCATGAGCTGTACTAGATACAAATTTGCTGTTTTCTGTTATTATGTTCAGGAAGCTAAGACCTTTTGAATTGGGGACAGTTTAGTTCGGAATTATCGCACTTCCAACCACAGAATATCTTGCATTTCCTTTTTTCAGTAACGATCGACCAGGACGAGCTGAACGCTTCGGTAGACTTCTGGGTGACCATGCTACCGATCGTTACCGAGCAGATCCAGGACATTCAGCAGAACGCTTCCCTGCGCGGCATCTGCTGCGATGCATTGGGTAACTTGGGAGTGCACGTGTTCGAAAAGCTTCCTGTAAGTAGACTCGATCGTTGTTATGTCTCTTGTGCTCTAAATTCGAATTCATTCCCGCAGCGCGATCGACAGATAGTCCTCGTTTCACTGCTAACCGGTTGCACCTTCGACGAGGACAGTGGCGTAAGTTCGGCAGCCGTTCGGGCTCTTTCCGTGTACATTCTGTTTCCATCGCTGAGGGACAACATTTGCTACATTGAGAACACTATCGATGCTATACTGAGGATTTTGAAAGATCCGAACGTGGCCGCTAGAGTCAAAGCCAGTTGGTCTTTGGGAAACATTACGGACGCGTTGGTGTTGAACAATAGCGATCCGAATGTGGAGAAGGTCAGTAACGACATGCTGAAAAGAATATTGGAAGAAGCTATCGCGGCGGCCGGAGATAATGATAAGGTCCGTTGCAACTCGGTACGTACGGTTGGAAATGTTCTACGGATGCTGAAGGTGGAGCATTTCTCGCAACCTGTTTGGGTTGACTTGTGCCAGAAATCGGTGGAAAAGCTAGTCCAGAATATTATCAGCTCGAACAACGTAAAGGTCAAGTGGAATGCATGCTACGCGATTGGGAATGTGATGCGAAACGAGCTGATGTTCAACGAGGGAAGCAGGATCGATTGGCAGAAGCAGTTGTTCCCCGCTCTTTGTCAGATAGTGATCAATTCAAACAATTTCAAGGTGCGGATCAATGCAGCGGCTGCTCTTTCGGTGATAGACAGTCGATCAAATTACGGCAGTTATTTCGTGGAAGTGTGGAGCTCGCTTCTGAAGGCCTTGGAACAGTCGGACAATTTGGTCGACTACAACGAATACAAGCATCGAGATAACCTTCAGGAACAGTTGTGCCTTTCGTTGTCGCATTTCCTCCTTCTGGCTTCAAAGGAAGATCTACCGGCGATGGCCAATAAACTGCTGCCGCTGTTTGATGCGGTCAAGCAAAACTGGGATCGTGTTGTGAATAGGATACTGCCGGAGAAGTCGGCGAGACTTATGGAGGTGCACGTGAAGTTAACCGAGCTGCAGGCTGTTGTTAAACATCCTGAGCTAAGACGGGCCGTGGAGATGATTTTGAGTTGCTTCCACAATGGAGGGCATGGTTTCTAGATTTTATGGTGAGTCATAGTTTATGAGTAACTCGTTATTTATTATCTGTATGGATATGATTTACTTCCACGTACGTATCACAGCATTGTGACGCAAATATACCCTTTTCGCATATAAGGTTTGTTCTGATATCGTTTTCCGAATTTGAAAGAATTCCTTTAACTCTCGAATGGTATACGGAAATGGTCACGGAGCAATGCTCATAAATTAAGATAATTTTCCAGTTTTTCTCAGTCGATATCACATGGAGAGCGAATAGGGACAAACGGGAGCTAACGATGCCGTATAGGCACGTGATAACGAAGAAAGGAAACAATTTTCGGTTTCCCTCAAATTCGTAAGACACACGTACTTTGTTACTCACCCCCTGCGAGGAAAGAAGTAACGTAATAAAAGGAAAGGAAATGCATTACGTGTACCTACGTAGTTTGCGTTTTCGCTTATGCGACCTTCCAGATCGTATAATTTGATTGTTCTCGCATCTTTTTAGTGAGTATTCGAGCAACAAATTCTCAACAACAAATTAACCCATTTCAAATACCTAATTGACAACGGCAATTGCTTCTTTAAAATATTACTGACAACGGTAACTTTTTGAAGTATTGAACTATTTCTGTAAAATTCGGAAACAAATTGACCTATTTTCCAATGAATTCCGCGAGTGATTTGGAAGTTCTTAGATAATGTTTGAAGATATAAACTGCCGCTATTCGCATAACAGTCCTATGTAGATAGGAAATCCATAGGACATGGGACTGTTATGCGAATAGCGGCAGTAAAGGATCCAAGTAATGAGCGCAGAAGTCTAACTCCCCCCATCACAAAATATTGTTCTAATTATCAAGCAGTCACGAAAACCTACATCTGTGTCAATAATCGATTTACTCGATTTCAATTGAAAGCCCTCATCGACATGATTCAGTACGTATGTGGGTTCTCAATCATTATTGGACTTGAAAACTGAGTTAGATCCAGCTGTCCCCCAGGAGGCAAGCAGAAACTCATGCGTGCTTGCTACCATGTCGATTATCCGACTCCCTTAGGGCAACATATTTGAAACTCTAATAATCATCCACACCGCGAACGGCACTCAGCTTGAAGATGTGTGAACATATAAAACTATAGGATAATATTATTCTACTTTTTATAGGGGATCGGAATGAGGGAGGAGAATCTGTTGCTATTCACTGCGTGACCCTGCTACCCATCGCCCTAATGCTACTTCAATTTCCTCGAAAACATACCGAAAAATTGAAATTAAAATGAAAAACGCAGACCAAGAGTGAAACGAGACACGTGCGGCAACATTTGTTCAAATAAAGGCAGGGGGACGGAAAATCCGTTCCCGCTACACAGCGTGAACCCTCCGAACTTTAAGCCGTCATAGACAGCGTTATTTATGGTTCCAAAAATTTGACTAATGATGCTACCGTTTCCCTCGTTGATCCTGTACCTATAGCCGTTCGCGACCGCCGCGCCATCAATGATCGAAATCGGAAGCAAAATCAAGTAATCATCCTTCCCTTGAATGATTACAGTGTTCGTCTTTTCGTCGCTGGTTCTTCCTATCAAGGTTATCCTAATCGACGCTGGAATGGCCTTGAACCACATATTTTCGTGGTTAATCACGCGAAAAAAAAAAATGCTGACACGAACAAAATAGGAGATGGCTTTTTCCTGCTATGGTAGCAATGGAGCACGCATTTTTTATCCGGCTCCCCTCCGTAAATAAGGACTAATCATCACCACGTTGTCGGTGTCGTTATCGTGATTCGACGTTGACGTTGGTACGAACGAAGCTTGTCCTTGTTTTATTTTCGCTAGAATCTCCGTTCTTCTTTCTACGCAGTGATTCCAGGAATGTCCTTTACAGCTAATGAGAGTTTCCTATATTAAACTGATAGTAGATTTTCATTAGCGAAGAGGGTGAAATATGCATTTGACTTTTAGATAAGTTCAATGATTGTATAAAATCCCATGCGTCTTTATTATAGGACCAACCCTCTGCTGTGATGACCGGTTGGATTCCAATTCAGCGCTTGCTTGCAAATGCCGTTTCCGACACTTCGTAGTGTATGGCCGACCCATTTTTTTCTGTTGCTATCGGCTTCCTATGCAAAATACAATGGGACTCTGCATTCGCGATCCAGTTGTGAGGCCACCATGCAAGAATTATAATGCCGCTGTGATGAGGATCTTTAAAGTAAAGACATTTTTACCCTTCTTACAAAAACGCATCAACTGCCAAACGAATGGTACCATGGTCCCATAGAACGCTATTGAATATCTCTTTGAAATCGGTCAACTGGTAACAGAGATATGGCCGGAACATGTTCCGCTGAATACGGGCCTTGGAGTGACCTGAAACGTGAAAACCATTATGCGACATGCGACACCTAAAAAATATGGGAATTCGAAAACAAGATCAACGGTGGCCACATTGAGTGTCCAGACATGTTCCGGTTAACCCCGGAGAAGTGACCAGTTAACTCAAATTAACAAAAGAATTCAAAAACTTGAATAGTTCCAGCAAAATAGCGAAACAAAAATATTGTTGAATCGACCTTAATTGTTGGTTATTGGCAATGATTCACATTTTGGCTAAAATTTGGCTATTTTGAATCTTGTAAAAAATTTAAAATAGCGTCCTTGAAATTTTCAAAAAACTGTAGCACGGAAACCGCATTTATGATGTCTAATAACGTTTGAGACGAAGTTGTACAGAAAAATAATGCCTTTCATGTAAAAATATACCAAAAATGTTTTATTGACTTTAAATAAAAATAAAAATAAATTAAAATCCAAACAATTTCCATTGCTCCATTTTTTTTTTACCAAAGAAAACTTATGCAAATTCTAAATTTTTGGAATGTTTAAAACGAAGAGCACTTGAAAACTGACAAAAATCGTCGAACAAGAACTTTTGGTTAAATTTTGATCTTTTGGTCAGTGTTCATAAACATTTCAAAAGTTTGCATTTTTCATGGGACTTTTTTATTTATTTTTTAATTTTTCTTGAAATTACTAAAATTATTTTTTTTATATATTTTTTCCAGGAAAGTACTATTTTTCTCTACAACTTTGGCAACGATCAGACATGCCATTTCAGTGCCACAATTTTTTGAAACAAATTAAAGACATCATTTTGAAAATTTAACAAGATTAAAAAAAGGTCAAATTTTAATGAAAATCGCTCTTAGCTGTCGACACATGCAGTTCTGTTTTTTTTTTTCGGTGCGAGTCACGCGATAATATGTTTTTTGACGTAGAATTACGTCTTTCGGCAACATATTGGGGGTGCAAAAAACCAAAATCCATCGCATGACGAAAAGAAGTCAGGTTTTGACCCCATATAACTCTGTCAATAGCAGATGGATTTTTATTCTTAACAAGCCAATCGATTAGAAATTTATCTACCAATCTGCTAAAATGAACACTCTATTAATTTTCAATAGGTCTCTATTACTATTACTACTCTATACTATCTATAAATGTCCAACTGTTGCAATGGTGATCAAAATTATCACCGATTACCTGCAAACAGCGTATTCCCTAACACAGATTTAAAAATCGAATTCGATCCTGTCTCACTGAACGGTGCTCATTCAATCACCGTGAGTGGTGTTGACTAGAAATACTCAGAGGGAGAGATAGGCGGAGAAAACAAAATACAATTCGGCAGCAGAGATTTGTTCCTAAATTATCTTGCAACCCTTGCTAGAAGCTAGTATTTCAAATGACTTTTATTTTTGATTCCATTTACGTGCAAAATAATAATTGATTGCATCGCAATATTTTGCACATTTCTTGTTGCCATTCATTAACCAACGAAGATCAATTAATCAATAGAGTTAGAATATTGTTTGTTAAATTTTGAGAAGCACACAAAACATAAAGCTGATTGAATTTCTGTTCGCTTGCAATACTCTCAAATTTATTCTAGTAAGAATAAGAAATCATCGGAAAATTCTAATTGGAATGTTCGATTGGCTCAGATTTTGATAGTTCATTTGGCTCAAAACATTCTCTCCACCCATCTCTCCCTCTGAGTATTTCTAGTCGTCAACACTTCATTTCTAGTAATCGATGCACTTCGAGGGGTGCATCGATTAGCTTGGGACCGAAGATAGTACCAGAGCTGAGCCAAAAAGTTGAGCACGTTTCTTCGGGACCTTCTAGTCTTAGAGTTACCTCTATGATACAACCATAGAGGTAACTCGAAGACTAGAAGGTCCCGAAATAACGTGCTCAACTTTTTGGCTCAGCTCTGGCACTGGCAAATGAATCGACAAATATATAAACAGAGGCCAGAGCTTTCACATATCTTTTTAATGGGTCTGATTTGGGATTCGATCATTGACTGTTGGGGTGTGCTGCTGCCGGAGTCTTCGTTCGATCTTCACAACGTGCATAAATCAAGCTGAGAGTTGACTCGACACAAAAATGCTTCCGTTGCACATCGTTTTCGTAGAAAGGGAAAGTATACGTTTGCTATCTCTTTTTACTCTTCACCAATGGCAGACACGAAGCTTCTGCTGCCAGCAGTGACGGTAGTTTCGGGTCGCGGTCGGATTTAAAGCAAAAATGTAAATAACTCAAACTCACCACGGTTTGGTTAGAATTGACCACTTTGTCAAGCAGTTTTGGCGTGACTTTCTTCCAACGATTCCAAAAAACTGGACCAACTAATTTCTATTTTTTATGAAACGCACAAATGATGGCTACTTTTCTCGTGGTTCTAGAAGAAAAATCTCACAATAATGTTTTAGTTCAAAGTTCGAGTGGTAGTAAACGTCATTTTAACTGCTCGAATGAAGTGGTTAATTGTAGTTGTTGAGATTTGTTAGCTTGATATTCGTAGCTACGATATCACGACCTGTATCGCAGTTGCTTGCTTGTTGATTTTTGTCTACGAAAATCAAGCGTGATATTTGGTATTGGTGAGATTTAATTCTTTGATATTTTCCCAACATTGCTTCTAAGTATGAAAATTAAAGAATAATCCGAAGACTCAAAAATTTGATTGGGATCTGTGATTCTAAAAAAATACAATTGCTACCTTGGAACATATCACAGATTTTATTTAAAATTTGTTCCCTTCATTTTCTTCACAATACTGCAGGAATATTCTCCATAGGTAACTCTTGAAATTCACTCTAACATTATTTTCAAATTTCTAATAAATATTATAATTAGAGAGAGAATTCCCGCCCATATTCACCACTAAATTCTCATAGAATAGTCGCATTAAGAAAATTCACTAAGTATCATACGCTTTCGCTGAAACGTCACTACGTTAGGCTCAATTATGAGTTCAAGCGAGTTAGCCGTCGATGCTATTCGCGATATCAACGAGGGATTCAGAGGAAACTCAAGTCGCACCCGAAGTCATTCTGGAATTACGTAAATGAGCAGCGCAAGGAATCCGGTCCAGGGCGTCACAATATCAGCTTCAATCGACCAAATCGATGCGACGAAGAGACTGCTGGCTTTCTTTTTTTGTTAAAGTCGAACAGCTTCGCAGCATTCTAGAACCTCAGTCGGCGTGCACAAACAAATGTTCAATCGCTTGTCTCTCTTTCTCCCGTCGCTCCATTGGTCTTCCTTTCAAGCTTCGTCGAAATGGATGAGCGAAAGAGCGCTCGACTTTGATAGTTTTCTCTTTCATGAAACACATCAACAGAGGTTTCATGACGTATATGACGGAAAATGAAATAACACATTTAAAGCATTTCTCACGTCAAAACACTTGAAGATTACACGTCATATTTCTAATTTATCTTCCATCCATATATTTATCTAAAAAAATGATCGAAAACGGGACATAACGCATTTTAAACAAATTGAAAGAGCGGCGATAGAGTGTTCGTGAAAGGGGATTGAAAGCCATAATGAAGTTCGTTTAACTAGAAAATCGACGTTATTTACATTGAAAGCGATGAGCAAAGCAACGACGAGAAGTTCCACAGCCAGCCTTTCCTTCCAAGCGTCCTTCTTTTTTATTTTCGTTTCTTGCTGATAGTCTAGCTAGGCGTTATAGAAATGAAGCGTCGAACACGTATGTATGAGAGAAACAAAACACGAGTTCATTTTAGAGCTTCGAAATTGTAGAGCCCTGATCCGGTCTACCTTCTTCAATGGTGTTGAATGGAGCAGTTGCTTCCACTCCTCAGCAGATCTGTCGCTTGTTTTCTGAGAAATTCGCCAGTGTTTTCACGAATGAGAGATTAACTGACGAACACGTTACCCTAGCAGCTAGTAATGTTCCACTGTACGGTCAAACACTGGGTGCGATGGATGTCAACGTCGAGATGATTTCCACTGTCGCATCACAACTCAAGTCGTCCTTCAATCCAGGACCCGATGGCGTTCCATCCGTATTCCTGAAAAAGCATATCGCCAGCTTGCTGATGCCCATGCTTCACCTATTTCGATTGTCCATCTCGAGTGGTACATTTCCACCTTGTTGGAAATTCGCACATATGTTTCCTATCCACAAAAAGGGCAGCAAACGGGATGTGGACAATTATCGTGGAATTACGTCGTTGATTGCAGTTTCGAAGTTATTCGAGTTAGTCATCATGGAGCCTCCACTCTCTCATTGTAAGCAGTATCTAAGTGGTGATCAACACGGCTTCACTTCCGGTCGTTCTACTGCCACAAATCTGCTGTGTTTGACATCGTATCTCACGGAAAGCATGGCAGAGAGGACTCAAACAGACGTCATATACACCGACTTGTCAGCTGCCTTCGATAAGCTAAACCATGCCATCGCGATTGCCAAGTTGCATAGACTTGGGGGTCAGCGGCAACCTCTTGCGATGGTTTCGTTCTAATCTCACTGATCGGCAACTGATGGTTGCCATTGGTGACAACCGGTCCAATATCTATCTAGCTACGTCAGGAATACCTCAAGGAAGTCACCTGGGACCTTTGATTTTCTCACTCTACTTCAATGACGTGAACTTGGTCATCGAAGGCCCACGACTATCGAATGCAGACGATCTTAAAATCTACCTACGAATCCGCTCGATTGATGACTGTCACTTTCTTCAACGTCAGTTCGAAGCCTTTGCCAGCTGGTGTAATTTGAACCGAATGGTGGTTAACCCCACTAAGTGTTCAGTGATCACTTTTACTCGGAAGAAAGAACCAATCACATTTGAATACAAACTTATCGGCACTGTAATCGACCGTGTGAACCATGTGAAAGATCTGGGTGTTATTCTGGATTCTCAACTTACGTACAAGCAGCACATCTCGTACGTTGTCGACAAGGCGTCTAGGACATTGGGATTTATCTTCAGGATAGCAAAGAATTTCTCCGATATCTACTGTTTGAAGTCACTGTACTGTTCCTTGGTGCGATCCATTCTGGAATATTGTTCTGTGGTCTGGAGTCCAAACTACAACAATGGTGCTGAGAGAGTTGAGTCCGTTCAACGCCGTTTTCTTCGATTCGCTCTGCGGAAGCTGCCTTGGAGAGACCCATTTCATCTGCCTAGCTATGAAAGTCGTTGCCAGCTGATTGATCTGGAGCCTCTCCGAACTAGAAGAGACACCTCTAGGGCCCTGTTCATTGCGGACACTTTACAAGGTAGAATTGATTGCAGTGCAATCTTGGGGCAAGTCAACATTAACGTCCAACCCCGTGCGCTACGTAACAACGTTATGCTGAGATTGCCACTTCAGCGCACAAACTATGGCATGAACGGTGCAATAGGTGGGCTGCAACGAGTGTTCAATCGAGTCTCGGGCATCTTCGATTTCCATATGCCTCGACAGCTGCTACGAAGATACTTCTCATCGTTCTTTTCTGGCACAGTTAACCGTGCATGATTGTGTGTTTTATTTATGTATTTTATTCTTAGTTTTTATTTTTTGATTTACCTATATAAGTTACTTAAATCATAATTGGGGCTATACACAGCCTGTTGATGCAGACAAATAAATAAATAAATAAATTAGGAACTGCATAGGTGGAATTTTACTCAGAACTATTTTGAAATTGACATTAGACTTCACTGAAGTTCTCCCTTCTATTTCTTTATATCTAGGCCATTAGGCTGAAAGCCATTAGGTTGAATGGGGTCATTAGGTCGAATTTTGAAAAATGATAGACTGAAGTATTCTTTGGAACAATTTTAAACACTCTGGAACTTCGAAAATGTTCCAAGATCTCTGATAGAGAAGGGACATGCATACATGAATTGAACTTGAATTATTCAAGCAATGCATTTTTTGAACTTGAAAAAAGTAAAAGATTCAGGATCTTAAAAAAAAAAATGAAAAATCACGCAAAAATTCAATTTTTGGGAATTTTTTTCATAATTCTGTGCTCTTGAATATTTTTTACAATCTCATTCTAATGTAATCACTCTTTTTCTCTATTATTAATTATAAGTCCCATAATTATTTTGGAATGCTAGTTAGAATAACTTTTTTTTGCGGAATTTTCTTTAATACTTCTTCTCAAAATTCACATGGAATTCTCATTACAGTTCTTTTTTCCTAAGCATTCTTCCCATGTTCCCATGTAATCATGCTTCAGAGTCTCGTTCAATTTCTCTTCAAAATTCCCAGGAATGCTCCCAGTATTCCCTTCAAATTTATCTGTATTCAGATAGCCGCCAAGGCTGCAAGCAGGCTTGTTATTTCCTCACATATTCAGTGCAAAGAGCAATCTTTACATCTTATCAAATTGAGGAGAATGATTGCACAGTTTTACGAAAACACATTCACATTGAGAGAGTGATGTTTGAAATAACGTTACTTTCCTCAATGTGCTCTTTACATGGGACGCTTTTGAATTTGCTCCCGGCGATCAATGACGTAGAAAAGTAGCAAAAGACAAATTAAAAAAAGTTACAACCCTTGCAAAATCAACATTTTGCGGTTTTATGCATTCAAAATAAATCGTCGTAACTTTTTTTTACTAGCGACAACTGTAGCGAAAATCAACTATGCTGGTGAACCATTGGTATACTTCACTATTTTAATTCAAATAGAAAATCGGTGAATTAGATAACTGATCATCGCAGTTAGGCCATAGAGGTAACTCTAAGACCACTGGGTCCCGAAGAAAATCATTATTATTTTTGGCTCACTCAGTACCAGAACAACGGTCCCAAGCAGTCCCAAGCTATTTCACTCACCCCTGCATGTTCTGCATGAATCCACACACCCCTGATGTTATCTGTCAAACTTTCATAGCGAATCAAAACAAACATAGTGTAGTAATAGAATTTCAACTAGAATAGGGTACGTTAATCGTTTGCTTGGGACCAATAGGCTACTAAAGTGGTGAGCCAATTTAAAATCGTTAGTTTCGTATTGATTGTTGGTTAGGCCCTTATGATTCTGAATGAAAGATTTTTATTAATAATCATATACATCTTCCACTGGAGTTGGTTAAATCAGGGGCGGGATGTGCTGTCAAATCGGCCTACTGATCATCCATAAATGAGATGTAAATGGGTAAGGCCCATTGAATTTGTCGTCTCTTTCGTTGTCTCGCTATTTAAATAGTTGAAAGAGTGTGACGTCAAACTCTGTCACGCTTTTTAACAGACGGAGAACGAACACTGGGCCTAACCTGCTTATACTCATGGATTTTCTATATGTGAATTTGACTCCAAACATCAACAAACCATCATTGCTTATTGTCGTTTGGAACCAGTTATGTGAGCTAGGCGACGATTGTTCGTATTTGACAGTCAACTCTTCCCCTTGAGTTCCCCTACGATACAAAAAGGAATTTTCATTAATTTTGCTAAGATTCCTCGTAAGATTCGGTATATTTTCTTGGACTAATAATTCTCTGATTTTGGGCATGCAATTTGCCACCTGGGCTATTCCCTCTCTTCCTCGGACACATTTTTCTCTCCGAGAAAAATTCACAAACCAAATCAGAATCAAAATTTCGCTCCACGCTTCCACACTCGGCTGTGTTAGTTTAGTTTGCAGGGAGCTTCCGTCGGTTTCAGATGTATTTTTGAGTAACGGTGCTGTACGTGTTTCATGTTGGTTCCGTGTGCGGAAAATAAACTACAATAAATTTGATTTTGCTGTGTTCTTCCGTTGTGTGTTTGTGTAGACATTGCACACATTGGTGCAATTCGCATCAATCAATGGACTGTTTCGTTGTATTGTGTGTGCAGCAGTGTTGACGGTGAGCATACAACATAACAAACTGTACCGAAAACGAAAAGGAGTGTTGAGGAGGCCTGCAACAGAGCGGATGCATGCGTACCGCTTTGTTTCGTTGAGTTGAGTGAGCGAGACGAACAGTAGTAAATTGCAGCGGTTAGAGCAGGAGTATCGATTAATAATAATATTCACCCCTGCGGGGTACGGACGGTGTGTGTGTGTGTGTTTGTACAGTAGCAGCGAGCATCGCGTTTGGGAAAATCGTTTCGACAGGCAGCCAGCAGACATTCATTTCTGGGCTGTGTAAACTTTGTGTTATTCGATTCGAACTGCAGTTCGAAAGTGAGTTGCAGCAATCCATTATCGTCAAGGTTTCGTGAGTGTGCCAAAAGTGTGTTGTGTCGCAGCCCGGGACGGGAAGGAATAATAGTTATTCGTGTTTGGAGCTTTTGGTGCATAGATTCTCGGCAGGAAGAAAAGTGCCAATATGTTTTAGCAGCAGCCCCAAAGCGAAAAGTAGGTAGTCCGGGGGAAGAACAGAGGAGTGTTTCAGATTTTTTTCCCAGCGTGAAAGTCTCTCAACATTGTGGAACAGTGGCCTTTCGTGATGGTATACGTGTGGTGAATAACGATTCTACTCTGCATTGGTGTGGTGAAGAGATTGATGATATTCCAAGGAAAACAGAATCCGATTTCGACCAAGTTCTATCGAAATAAATATTAGCTTCAAAGCTGGAAGTTTTAATCAACAAGCCGAAGGCAACAACTGTGATGTGTGGTGTGTAACAAAAATTATTGTACAACGCCTAACGAGCTTGTGATGTGTGGTGATTTTTTATAGAAACGTCAAACAACTCGAAACGACCTACTCCTCCCTTCCTCCGCTGGGGCTGTTTTGTTACCTTGCGTGAAAAGATTTGGCTGTGGTTGTGTTGTCGTCGTCGTCGCCAATTGATACTACACACATGAGTGTGCTTCAACTGGGTCTGCTGAAGAAGAATATCATTAAAATGAATGAAATTATAATTGTACAAAAGTGAAAGATCCCAGAGCACCGCCGCAGAAGGAAAATAAAGGAAAAATTGTATTAGTTGTGTGTTGCGCACCTATGATTGCTGTGAGGTGTGGTGATGTGATGAGCGAGCAGTAGCTGGAGAAAATACGCAATGATCCAATCCACGAAACATATCAACATTGGGGAAGATTGAATTTTTTCGGTGTTTGGATTACCTCCCGAGAGAGATAGATAGAGAGCGAAATAGCCTTTCGTGCAAAGTGCAGTGGTTCGTGTTTTTCGTTTGTGAAAGATTCAAACAATCCTGGGAACATCGGGGTCTTTTTTGCACTATCAAGAGACACCACTTACAGCTAGAGAGAAATCGTTGAAGGTAAGTCGTTACGGGGTCGTTTATTGGGGGGTAACGGAGAAAAAAAAAAATGGTTTGGAACAGCTCGGCGTAATTTGTGGCTTTGTTTTGATACGTGGTGAATTTTGAATGAAAACAAAGTTCGTTTGTAAACTGTTGTCAGTGAACTGAAAGATTTCAACATTTTTAACTTGCTTTGGATTTAAATCTTGCAAAAAACTTTACGAGGATGATGCTGTAAATTAAACTTAAAACATGTAGAACGGAAAGTGTCCAAATTCGCTCTCGAATATAAGGAGAACATTTTTTAATACTAATTATTCTACAATAACTGACGACACTTCGAAGTTCTCCGCCCGTTTCGAGTTGTGGAACTCAAACTGAAATCTCGTGAAATATTCAAACATTTTTTCAAAAAGGTCATGAAACTCATAAACATTATCCACAAGTCCTGGGAGATTTTTTTTTAATTTAATAATGAACACCCTCGGACAGATCCATTGTGACTATACATTCCATTTTACTACAAATTCAAACAACAATGTTATTCATCGATATGGAAAAATTTGTATGACATTTCAGTGCCAACATTTCAAAGGGGCGTAATTGCTTTTGTAAACAATGACTTTAGCCGTCGATTTCTCGCAAACAATCCTCTACCTGTTGGTGTCATTAATTTTCATGAGTGAGCCTTTTGAAATGTTGGCACTGATTTGTCGAACCGTAACACATTTTATAGAGATCATTAGAAAAAAAATCTACGAAAGGCACTGTTGACTGTCAAAAAGTCATGGAGATTCTGAAAACGTCTAAGCGATATTCTGAGGAATTTTGGAATTTGTTCTAGTGAATGAAAAGTTAATCGTTATTTTGTTTCGGAAATAAGTTCATGATTATGAGACAAATACGTATCTTCTGTTTTTTTTTATTATTATTATTATTATTTATTTGTTATCAATTATATAATCAAATAAAATTATCAACTAGGAAAATCTTACATCATCATCGATTTGCTATTGAATCGTCTTTTTTATTAATTTCAACTTCTGCATGTTTTTCAAACGATATTAAATGAATGAATTGATCCGCGATTGAATAGCATGGCATTTAGGCAAATCGATTGGAACTTTGAAAAGTATGGAACGAAAAAAAAATAACTGTACTGTCGTTTCAAGAGAGTTATTCACAGCTCATACACTGATTTGCTTTGTTTACCAACTTGAGTCTTCGCCAGTTCTAGGTGTTGAGGACATTCTTTTAGGAATCATCATTTCCTTAGGATTTCAGAATATAATTTTGAAGCTTTGAGAATTCGTCCAGATATTCCTGGATCTGTTTTGAAAAAGAAAAATACGACGCGAATGCAGAGAGGAGGGGTGAAAGGGGCGGCATGTCTTACTTTTTTTTTGCTATATTGAAATCTCTCTTTAAGGACATAATTGACTTAATCCTCTTTGCATTACCTATGAGCTTTTGTTAAACATACATTGTAAGGTCCTTTTTGAGCGAATCAAAGAATGCCCACGTAAACCAATAACACTTTCGTTTCTAGTCGAAGTTGGATTGTGCTCCAGGGCAGGAAGTATGAATATAAACACGTGAAGCATGTTTTTTTTTCCTTGATTTGTTTTCCGTACTGAGAGTTCCAATGTTACCGATGCCAGCAGTGGCGTCGCGTAACCTCACTTTTTACCTGTGCACCAACTTTCAATTCCAGATTTAATGCCATATTCATACTCGAATCGGTTGAAAAATACATTTAATCTTCTAGTTTACTTAATATCTATCCATTGCAAGCAATATTTTGATAATTGTTTATGTTTTGAGAGTTGGTGCACAGGTAGATTGAGGTTAAGGAAACGCCTCTGGATGCCAGGGAGGCAGCTCCCACACCTGGACCCTACCTAGGCACCCATCAACTCGTGGACCGGGGACGAACGGCTTTACATCCCTTTCAAAGTAAGGCATGATCAGAGATTTTATGCTTCAGAAAATCTCGGCGGCACCGATTGGGATTGACCACAGACCCTTTGGAGTGAGCGTCAATAACGCTTACCCTTACACCACCGGTGCGGCTATGACGTATGGTTTGTTTTGGCTCAAGACATATTATAGCCACTGGCATGAAATCAGGGTGGAAAGTGAACTGGGAAAACTGGGAAAACCGGGGAAAATTAATACATCTTAACACGCTCAAATTTGTACGCCAGAGTTTCTTAACAAATTACTACAAAGCACAAAAAGAAATACTTGTTCGTATGCTGCATAATTGCCATCAGTTATTCGTCTTATTTCAATTGCTAAACAAAATTGCAAATCTATTGTTCGTTTCTACTCCAATCCGAAGTTAATGTGCATGAGCCTTAAAGTAAAATATTCAAGATGCCGGATTTTGGAAAGAAAATATGCGTGAAAACCGAAACTTGACCAAAAATTTCCCGGTGTTTTGAAAGTTAAGATAAAAAATGAGGTTAAGCGGCACCTCTGATCTAAGTATTTGAAAGAACTTATGCTCCGGATTCGTTTTCTAATCTAATCTAATCTAACACCAACACAGCCAGTTCTTGAAAGCATCCTGGAAAATGATGGATATACCTCCATATTTTTTTTGTCTATTTGATATATGTTTCACCAGTGGCGTCGCGTAACCTCACTTTTCACCTGTGCACCAACTTTCAAAACCAGATTTAATGCCATATTCATACTTGAATCAGTTGAAAAATACACTTAATCTCCTAGTTTAATGGATAGCTATCCATTGCGAGCAATATTTTGATAATTGTTTATGTTTCGAGAGCTGGTGCACAGGTAGATTGATGTTAAGGCGATGCCACTGTGTTTCACATCGAAGATGCGTCACACATATCAAAACGGCCAGGCCTACTGTGCAGCATTTAAGGGGCAAGATGGTTCAGAAAACATCGGGTCTATTTAAATCGAAGATTTAAACACGATGCTTCAGAGTCCAATAAATGGATGAAACGTGGACATCTCGTACCGTACGTTCCGATTTTGGTAATTATATGATTGGTTGGTTGTTGGAAGCATCCAAGCTAGATAGGTTATGTGATGCTCCATTGTCTTCTGACGGTTGGGACATGACCACTAGCCTTTTATGGCTTATGGCTATAGCGCCATTACTCGCTTTCTGAAAAGAGAAGAAGGAAAGGAAAAGGAGAAGGACAAAGGGAAAAGGATTAGGTAAACTCTATGAATATAAACAATATTTTTAATTAAAAATATACAATATAGAAATGCATACCGGCGGTGGTCACTACCCGATGCTTGTCACTATTATCAAGTCATAAAAATTAACAAGCACTAAAATGTTATCCTTTCATTACTGGAAAATCCTGATTCTCTAGTTTGAAGTTGTCACGACTAGGGTTCGGTGGTAGATCCTATACCAGTAACGCACCACAAAAAGGTGATCTCCCAACGTTACTGGTTTGAAAAGATAAAAATTTACAAAATGGAACGAACTCACCAAGTTTAGCCAATTCAACCTGAACGCTGCCTGACATGTGTTGATGTAGAAGCCAAAGCTTGAAGAAGATCAACATGCACTAGTCCGGTTTATGGTAGTTGCGCGGAATGTCTTCCGTCGATTTGAGATCAACAAATGTTCGGATGTATGTAGTCAGGTTCAACGCTGCGACTCAACGAATGATGGAACTATTGATGGAACGCCTCGTGGAGGCTCTACTTGGCTTCGGAACAGCTTCACAGCGGCAAATAATAGGGACTGAGGAACTAGAAATTGTCTCCTGGGCCTGGTTTTGGCCAGATCAGCAACCGATTATAGATACAAAAAACTCCACGAAAAACAACAAACGTCAGGTTCGATCACACGCACAGCCTACTCCCTTATGCTCCGGATTCGTTTTCTCCCACAAACTTTATGAAATTAACCACAGAATGCCCTATTTTCCTTTGATCACAGGAGTTCTGCTCCTCGAAAATTCCTATGAGTTTTCAGTATATATTTTTTTTTTAATGAATTCAATTCAGGGTTTTCTTGAAATTCTACTCAAAACTATCTCAAGCTTCACATGAAATTTAAAATTCAGCCGACTACCTTGGAATGAGGTCCTTAGAAATTATAATAGCATTAAATGAGACTTTAAAACTGTGAAATTTGACTTCCGATACTGGAAATTTTCTTGGAGTATTGAAGAATTTAAAATTTGTGAGAAATATGCATATTCCAGAACATAAAAAGAAATGATAATTTCATGCCTCTGATTTTTTTAAATTTATTTGTTACCACATCTAAAGGGTGTCCACAATTAAATTGCATCACTTTCAAAAAGCTGTAACATTTTGCCCTTTGGGTTAATTTTAATTACATTTTGGGTGAGATGGCCACAGCGTGTATTGTTTAAACTGCGTGAGTTTCATTGTGAAATTTCTAGTAGTTTTGAAAATGGAGTCGAAGAAAAATTTGCACACTCACCTCAACAATCCTCATCTTTAGGACCGAGCCATCAGAAAGATGATAGGAATCCAACAATCTACTGCTTCTCGTGTTTAAAACGTTTCGGAGAACGTTTAACTGTCGATCGGAGGCAAGTGAGTGCAAGAAAAAGTGTTCCATACTGCGTTGAAGATTACAAGCAAGTGGTTGCTGCCTTCAAACGCAAAACCAAATGTTCGGAATGTCGCGAAAAAAACTACCAAGAAACGAGCAGGTCTACGTTCATTCGAGGTTCAGAAAGCACAAAACCGCAATGAACGACAGAATAGGAACGATAGAATGCGGGCACGTAAGCTGCAATGAGTTACAGAGAGAGGTGAAGCAGATCGTGAAATATGGTTGTATTAGTAAACCAAAAAATCAACGTAAACGCAATTAGTGACGTCACTAATTGCTTGTATCTTACAGGGATTTCACTCACACAACTTAACCGATTGCTTCACCTCGGTAATCCAGCTCATTGCGTAAGCTGTACACACAAATATTCAAAAAAAAAACCACACTGCTGTTTCATGGACGATGAAACATACGTTATAACGGACTT